TTGACTCTACAGACCGAATCGTTACCAGTTGCCCACACTGTATAAGCAGTTAGGAAATCCACAATTAGAGATAATATTTAAAACGTATTTTTTCTACACCCACATGGATATTAGCTTATCTACGCACAGATTACAAAACGAAAAAGTATGCTATTGCCCTCAACTGAACGAATATATTTCATATCCATTCTAGGTAGTGCGAACATAAAAATGAGATACACCAATCACCGTTCATATTTTGATCAACCGACTGCTATTATTTTTAATATTTTAAATAGGTGACAATTCTGTCAAACTAATTGTCAGTATATTTTTTAGTTATTGAGATTAAACATACATTAAAATGGGTTTTTCTTGTGTAGACTCGATAAATAATAGCATTTCTGTTTTTATTTCTATATGAAGTCAATTTAATTACGAGTATTAAAGCGTGGTTAGCGTTCTTGCCTTCCACACTGATGCCTTGAGTTCGATTCTCGGATGGGGAAAAATGAAAAAGATTTTTCTTTTTTTTTTTCGTTTGTTTTATTTTAACAATTATTAAAAGTCATAAATTGTTATAAAATTAGTTATTTTGTCTTAATAACCTAAAATATTTTTTATTTGTAAATTTTAGTTAGTGGGTCGTAGAAAAAATATACTGTACAACTCGAGTGGATTATCCACATCGCACTTAGATGATTGAGCACTCCGCCTATGGCGTCGTTTTTATAAATATTGTTGGGAGAAAGATTTAATTTGATTTTATTAATAAATATTAGAATTTATTTCTTGGCAAATATAATACCGTTTTTATAAATATTGTTGGGAGAAAGATTTAATTTGATTTAATTGATAAATATTAGTAGTTGGCTCTTTGAAGATAGAATACCGTTTTTTTTTTAAGGGAATTAAATATGATTTAAATAATAAATGATAGGGTTCAGTTCTTTAAAATTGTGATACCGTTGATTTAGACTTTGGATAGTTTGTCCTAAGAAATTAAATTTTTCTTTTTGGTAGGTTAAATCGGGAATTAAATTTGATTTCATTGATAAATACTTTTGTTTAGTAAGTGCCGCGTTATAACTAAGTTGGAAATATTTAGAAACGGAGTTTTCAAGGAAACGTTCTCCCTCTTTTAATAGTTTGTTTATTCTTTTACCGCAAATTTAAATAATCTTAAATAGTGTCCTGTCTGAACGGACTCGTGATGACGATCAGTTCATTCTTGGATTAAGTGCTATCCGCGTTATTTTTTTTAGTTAATGTGTAAACCGTAAATTTAAATAATTTTAAATAGTATCCTGTCCCTGTTTAAGCGGGCTGGTGATGACGATCAGCTCATTCGTGGAGTAGGTACTATCCGCGTTAGTAGTTTTCTTCCCTTTGATAATAGTTGTGTTTTCTTTTTCACCGTCAATTTAAATAACCTTAAATAGTATCCTGTCCCTGTTTGAGCGGACTCGTGATGACGATCAGCTCATTCTTGGATTAGGTGCTATCCGCGTTAGTTTTCTTTTTCCCTTTGTATTCTTTATTTTTTTTTCGTGCAAATTGCAAATTATAAAAATTTTAAATAGCTTCATTACCCTGTCTGAGCGGGCTCGTGATGACGACCAGCTTATTCTGGGACAATAGGCTACCCTGGGTATAAATTAATTTTTTCCCTTTCCGTATATTTACTATAAGTAGTTCTTTCACGACCCTGTCTCCTAGCACTATCTGCGACCGTTTTGATAATTCTTCCTTACCGAAATAGTAAAGTACCTACATTTTAGTTTAATTCCCGATACGACAGTTCGTTAATTTTTGCTACGACCGCTCTTAGAATTTTTCCTTACCGAAATGGAAAATTATGTTCTATTTTAATTACCGACTAAATAGTCAAGTTAATAATTTCTTCTGCGACCGAAATACTAATTTGATTTTAATTCAATTTTGACGTCTGATTGAGACTAGTTGGGATTCAATACCGTCCGTTTTGTTTGTTTATTTTTTTTTTGTTCAGGGTTATATTAACTATCATCACAACTAGGGTGGGCTTTGAAACATATAATTTCTTTTTTTTATGTTGTAAATAGATTAAAACAATATATGTGTCAATGTTAACTTGCCGTATTACTGGTTACTAATTCCATATTCTGTTTACCCCTTGTATTTCAGCTAGTGATAAATTCTGTACCAGCCCAGGCAACGATTAAAGCCCGTTACCTGTGGCCTACTATTACCTGTGTCTAAGTGACCTTTGACCCCTGGAATTTTTTATCTCCATCTGTAACTACCCGAGTACTTTCGACGCCATTTCGAGAGTTTGTGGAGTAAACCATAACCAAAAATCTGACGCTCGAGAACCGCCCGTAATCAGCGCCATTTGTAAGGAACCGTTTTCTATGTGGCGAGAAAACCCCTTACAAAATATAGCCCATTTATATAAAATGGTGAAGGTTCTCGATGCTTCCACCAAGTTCCTAGACTATATGACACCTTCGCCATAAGTTGCAATTTAGTACCTTCGAACATTCTACTGTGTTAATATTCCAGATGATGATCGGCAGTGGCCAGAGTTGTCCCATTTTATAACCTATTTATAACCTATTTTTTTTTAATATTTTTGGTAATCAGACAATTGGGCCCTTGAAGGTCAAAACAAGACAGAATGAGACTTAATGGATTAGAGCATTACCGGATTGGTCGAAAATAGCTCGCATTACAGTATAAATTAGAAATAGTTGATATTATTAATTGTTTAAATACGAGTGTCTTCTTGGAACTACTTACTATGTCTAAATGATTCAACTAAGTTTCTTTCAACTCTTTTTTAGTTTATTATTTGTTTTTTCCTACATTTTTATTGGGAAATTTAATTTTCTTGATGCCCTCTGCTACAGGGCTTTTCATGTGGTTTGCTCTTATTATGTGTGGGAGCAATACAGAATCGCCAATTTTCCTGTTTCCGCTTTTATATTTGAAATAAATTCAGTATAAAGGGGGTAATATAATTTAAGGAAATCACAAAAACTAAAATTACGCGATTCTGTTTAAGAGCAAACCGAACCTGTCGCGAAAAGCAAAAATGACGCAAGGATTTTCTAATATAAAATTATTTATATGCGCCCCACTGGGAATACTTTGCTATTTTATTTGTCACGGGAATATTGAGATCTTTAAACTTATGCAACGATAAGGCAGCACTTTAAAGAGACATTTAAGAAAAAAAGGTGGGTAACCCGCTGATTTAAAAACTACTAGATATTTGTTAAAACAAAAAGGAGTAAATTTTGATAAATTTAATAGAAAATGGCACGTAATTCTTTTTTTTATTCCTTTTAAAAACTGCCAAACTAAATACTTTTCGTTGTTATCTAAAACAACAAAGTTTTGTTACTATTGGTATTTCCTAAAAAAAAAAAAAAAAAATCGGGCCTAAAAACTCAGAAGGAAGTAGAAATGTTCAAGGTGTTTGGTGTTCTTAGCAGTATTCTTAGGCTATAAGTTATAATTTGGTGAGTGGGTTTATCTGATGGAGGGAAGAGCCCAGCATATCCTGGAGGTCTGTGGATAGAGGAATGTCTTGTGCGTCTGAACGTAGGTTATGGAAGTTTTTTCATAGATTTTGGAAGAGAGGTAGGCAACGAAGACGTCAAAGTGTTGGGAGGTTGTCTTAGGCATAGTATTTGTTTCTTTTAGCTCGTTTTTGGGATTTGAATACTTCGTTGGCCCTCTTTTCACACATATAGATCAAGAGGGTGAAAACCTCGAAAAGTTTCATCAAGTTCGCGATATTTATCTTTCTCTCTTCCACATGTATCGAATGCACGAAACTGTGTAGGTTACAGCTGCAGGTAGGCAAAATAGTAGGTACAAAAGTAGAACGTTTTACTATACTATAAAGTAATGAACCAGCATTTAATTATTTACATAAATTCCCGGAGAATTTTGAAGCAAGCCCGGAGCCCAGAAAAAAATCGCCAAACCCGGAGTCTGCGGATCAAACTGACAGTGTTTGCAACAGTAAAATTTTGCACAAACTTGGATTTCATGATATTAAAATATTATCTAAAAAACAAGAATTTTCGAAAGATTGGAAGAGATAAAAACTGATTCACATCCATAAGCCTGGAATATTCGTAGTAGTATAAAGGGCCTTTTATACGTAAAAAAACACCAAAGAATAGGTAGGTAAATAGAACATTTTTTCAATTTGTTTAAATATTTGCGGATTAAACAATATATCGAATCGGCGCCTTACACTTTATAATCAGCCATAGATATACTCACCACTGAAAAAACCCCTTGTCCCGTGTAACTTCCAAATTTTTCTCCAAACTTTGGCGAAATGACATATTGTCCGTGTAAATCGCAGAGGGCGTAATTGGGAAGAATTTTATAGGAGACCCAATAAAAAACTAATTTAAATTAGAACCCTTGAACTTATTAAAACTGAATTTGTTTTTATGATAAATGTTGCAATTTGGATAAATAATAAAATAAGCATTTATGAGACGGTAAATTTGCCATTTTAGTACTAGATGGATTTAGAAAAAAGTGGGCTTACGTATTTTTTGATTTACACTGACAGTATGACAGCATTCTTTAACTATACTCAATCTCCCCAAAAAAATTAAAATTATAACTGAATACCATGTTGAATACTTTTTAAAAAATCTACACAGACTTTCATTTAATATGTAATTCACAATACGCGAAAGTGTATATTTGGTGGTCTGACCAATAAAGTTAAAGGCGCGTCAAAATATTTAGTTCTGTGCACATTCTTGTGTGGGTCTGTGGTTAAAATGTCAACAAATGACATTGACATTGTTGACGGTTGACACTTGCTACTGTCAATATTGTTATTTCACTTTTTTACTTTATTTACATTCTATTTAATATCCAATACAAATCAAAATAAAACTCCCAATTTAACTTTAATCTAAGAAATATGAATGGAACTTAGTAATTAAAAATATAGTTCATAATTTTGAATTATATTTACTTAACAAATACAGTTAATAACAATGAAGAAAGAAAGAACAGGAGACACTTGCAGACCATTCAAATTATAAGTATCATTTCCAATGTATTAATTTAAGATTTGAGAATTATTTAACTAATAGTATCCTTGCCTTTTTTACAGCTCATCAAATTGTAAGTTTAACTGGAATCAGTTTTGAAAGAAAAAGTATAATTGTAAGTACAATACTAATAATAATTGTTATGTTTACGATCACAGTTCTGAATTTTTAGGGATTTGTTGAACTGACTGTTGTTCCTTTAAGAGACAATTTTAGGATACTAAAACTTAACGCCAAACAATGCCGAATTTACAGGGTTATTTTAAATGATCATTATGAAGCACATTTTCAGTATTTTGACCCGTTTTTAGATGTTTGCCAGTCTGATACAGAAACGTAAGTTACCTACTTATATGAATTAAATTTTGAGATGTAATAGTTTTATATTTATATATAGGAGAAGTTTAGAAGCTTTTTCCCAACACCATCTTGCAGCAGCACTTAGAACTGATCCAGACAATAATTCTGGAGAACTGGTAGTTACGATTCCACCAGAAGCTTCTCATTTAGTAGCAGAAGGTACTGCTTTAAGAGTAGGAATAGAATTTTCACTGGAATGTCCACAGGGTGGAATACATTTTGTAGTTCCACAAAAAGAAGGAACTTACACAGAGGTAAATCCTTAAATTAATAATAGAATGTTTTGTGTTAAAGGTTTTTCTTTTAGAGAGGTGTTCACTTATTTACGTATGGACATCAAAATGCTTCAAGATTATGGTTCCCTTGTGTAGATAGTTTTGCAGAAACATGTACTTGGAAATTAGAATTCACTGTGGATGAGGACTTAACAGCTATTTCAAATGGTGATTTGATAGAAGTTGTTTTTACTCCAGATATGAGACGAAAAACTTATCATTACACTTTAAATATACCTACTTGTGCTCCAAATATTTCTTTAGCTGTAGGACCTTTTGAAATTTATGTTGATCCATACATGCATGAGGTTACACATTTTTGTTTGCCAGGTTTGTTGCCTTTATTAAAGGTAACTACAAGGTAATAATTACCATATTGTTTTAATAGAGTGATATATTAAAATACTTTATTTTTGTTGTAGGTATATGCATGAGGCTTTTGAATTTTATGAAGAAACTTTGTCTAATCGATATCCTTATTCATGTTATAAACAAGTATTTGTAGATGAAACTCATGAAGATTACAGGGCTTATGCGACAATGAGTATATTAAGTGTTAATTTATTACACTCAGCAGTTATTATTGGTAATATTTTATACAATTAAAAAATAAATGCTTTACATTACAATCAATCAATATTAGGTGTCTAGATTTTGTCATTAAGCCAATAAATGAACAACTACTAGACTAATTTTGTTTGCAAAAATCAAATTGCAGATATTCAGTGTTATCCAAATAGTTGTCAAATTATTATGAGAGTCTTGTTACAAAGATTTTTTATGGTTATAAATCGGTATTGACTTAATATAAGGCTCTAAAAATGCACAACCTTTATCTACATTTACATTATTTTTTTCCGTTTTTTTCTTTAACTAAAAATAAACGTTAAAAGTTTTGTACTGTTTACATGGTTAGGTATATTTTCTATTATTTTGAAAATTGCCAAAGTAAGTTCTCTGAGAGAATTTTTATTATGGAACCACAAATACATAAATAATTTATTTCTGCCAAAGGATCCTTGTCAACTTTAAAAAAATTATAAAATATTAAACTACAAAATATTTATTACTTCACTTACCTGAATATTCTTTTTCCAACTTTAAATGTTTAAAGACACATCTTAGGAGCATTATTATTGACAATGCTTTATATTAATCTAAATGTTGATTTAAATATTAAAGAAGTTCCAAAAATAAAACTGGATAATTTATTAAAAATAAAACTTTTCTACAAGATTTTTCTAAACAACACAGACAATTGTGTGGTGGTAACCATATTTTCACCACATTGTAACTGAATTCCTCAATCAACACAAACCCTATTAACCTGTATATATACCAGAATTTATCTGAGATTAGTTAAAACAGTAGTATATGAAACTAGAATTATATAATGAGGGTATTGGCTGTGTAAAAAAAATTTAAACCACCCTTTTAAATACATTATAATAATACATGTAGATTGAAAAATTTTTTTTTTATTCTAGATCAAGTCTACATTACTCGCAGAGTCATGGCTCAAGCTATAGCAGAACAATTTTTTGGGTGTTTTATATCTATGCAAAACTGGTCTGACATGTGGTTAAATAAAGGAATCAGTCAATATTTGTGTGGTCTATATTGCAAAAAATCTTTTGGTAACAATGAATATAGAGAATTGGTACAAAGTACCCTTTTTGATGTAGTGAGGTATGAAGAGGAATTCGGTGGTATAGTATTAGGTAATTAAATTAATTATTGTAGTGTGTTCAATTATAATCTGTTAGAAATTATTGAACATTGTTCAATGAGTTTAGTTATGCAAGGGTGCAGAGATTAAGCACTTGAATAATTTTGATAAAGAATAATTTGAAAATTAGGAAACAATTCTCAAAAATCCTGTTATGCATTATTAAGACCATCTCCGATGGGTTCGAATCTCGGCGACTACATGCTTTTTACAAATCTCCAAGTATTTGTTTTCACCTTTGGGGTTCATGGATGGTCTTAATGATTCGTAGGGATTTGAGATTTGTTTCCGAATTTTCAAATTATTCTGATAGTTATTTCAGATATTTATTTATTTAACGGAAAAACCCTTTATAGTAAAGTAATAAAGTATTTAACCTACATAGATACAAAATATAATACATTTATGAACGAATCGCAGATTTCATGTCATTAAAGCTTTGACCTCAACTTAGCTTTAAAGCAGCTCAGAGAAAGGCCGATAAAATCAATGCCCTATTCACCAAGCATATTGGCTGTTCTTGATAAGCGAGAGAGAGGAGTGTGATATCCATAATTTTAATAAAATGGAACAGTCAACAAACAGTGGTTACGAGTGGCCCTATTCTGAATCCTAAGTGAGAAAAGGGACAGATGTTTTGGGCAACAAATATCCCCTGACAACAGCTTGAATAACAAAGTCATTTCCATAAATATTCTACGGTTTTCTAATGTTTCTTAGTTAAGTTTATTCAAAACTTCCTCTTAACTGTAATTGCCAACCTGTAAATGCATTTTATATGCTGCATATCTCAAAATTTCATGTTATATTCGTTTAATTGCTGATATATGAACTATATAATAGGAAGTCCAAACTATAGAAACATATTGCAGTAACAAACATACCAAAGCATTATAAACCACTAAAATTGATTTAATTGATAAATCCTTCGAATTACGCATTGTAAACCCCAACATTTGATAACCCTTGCTAGTAATGGTATTAACATGTTCAATAAATGTCAGCTGACTATCGAACCTGATACCCAGATCCTTGACTTGTTTATGGGTACATTATAAAGTGAGTCTTTGAAAATGATTGGAGTTTTATTTCTAGTAAAAGTTATCAGTGTTCAGAGACATACCATAGCAACAGACCATTTGGCGAGTACTAAAATGTCGTTTTCCATTTTATAACAGTCCTCCCAGGAAGTAATTTTCAAGTACATTTTCAAGTCATCAGCGAACAGTCAAAAGTCAAAGAGGTTGAAAAGCAGTGGTCCCAAATGAGAGCCCTGCAAAACTCCTGATGAAACCATGACTGAATTTGAAGTGTGATTTTTAATTTTTACTACATTCTCCCAATAAGATAGCTGGACAACCAGACAATTAACTAGATTGGAAAATCCATCAATTTTAATTTGTGAATTAGAATAGCATGGTTTACCCTGTCAAATGCTTTACTGAAGTCAGCATAAATAGTGTCCACTTGGCTACCTAGTTCATATGAGTCATTGATGTCATCCTGATATATTAATAAATGCCTGCGCTCGAATCCTAGCGACAATAGGCTTTTTTTCAAATATCCAAATATTTGTTTTCACCTTTGCGGTTCGGGAATGGTCTTAATAATCATAGGGCGATTTTTTAGATATTTTTCTGTATTTAAAATTATTCTAACACTTATTTCAGAATTTAATACAGTACATAATTTAAATTTTATTGAAGTATACATTTGCCAATGACATACTTTATATTTAAATATTAACAGTAATAAATATTCTATTTTCAATTTTCCTTTTTATTTTTTAATGAAAAATTCCACATTTATATTTGATTTCTAGATCCGAGTCAACCTCCAGCACCCCCTCCTGTTGGTTCTAATCCCCCACAAACTACTCAAAAAACTAATGAAGAGAAATTCTATTTTTCAATAAGGAACTTACATACAATGTCCCCGATGTATATAGAGGCTTCATATAAAAAAGCATTTTTAGTAATGAGGATGTTAGAACACAGAATAGGATTGGAATTGCTTTTACAGGTAAGTTTAAAATTGATTGTGCTTTAGTGTTTAGATATGAATATAGAGTCCAGTGGAATTTGTCTTTTTATGCACACAAAATTGTTTCATGCCATTTTTTGTCCTTTCAGGCATCTTTGCTCCACCCCACACCACCTCTGGCAGATCCCACCTAATTAGGCTTGGGTTCAGCCTGCTTTTCCTACTCTGGGATTCGATGCTCTACTCCTTTTCATGCATTTAACTCATGCATTCTCCTATTCGTTCTATGGTCTAAGCAGCCTCTGAGCTGTACGAGTTCGGTCACCCACTCAAGCCTTAACCAGGCTGTTGGAGACTTGTGATCGATGTTTTAAATATTCTTTATTTACAACCATATATGTAATGTTGTCATTACTAACGTCATTGAAGGTTGGAAAGTGTCACATTACACAACTCTACTTCCCGCCCTCATTTCATCTATTCTAGATGAATATTTTTTATATTAAAAAAAAAATAACACATTGTTTGACAAATTTTATAATACCTATTTAATGGCAAACAATAAAAAACAACAATGATCTAAAATATAACAAACTACTTATTGATATTTATTATTCGCGAATTTGATATCCGGCTTTATCTGACATTTATTTATATTGATGACAGTTGTTTACCCCGTAATCACAGTAACAATATATTTACCTACTTGATTATTCTGAGAAAACTGCGCGCTGGGTAATTTGTCGTTAAATGTAATATTTTAGGTATGTTCAGAACAAAACAAAGATTTATTAACTTTGATCTAAATATGATGGTTGTAAATAAAATAGTATACAAACCTCGGTAGGAAGTTTCATTCTTGTCTCGAAATCATAGCTAACCTCGACGCTTCGCGTCTCGGTGATCTAACTAATTTCACGACAGAAATGAAACTCTTCCCACCTCGGTGTGTAATGTACTATTACGGCACCTAGCGCTCCGGCGCCATTTCTACTTAGTTTTGTTTCTTCTATTCACTTTTACTTCCCCTTCTAGTTCATGGGTATAATACCACGATTTTATTTGACTATTTTTCATGTTCCATTATCATTCAATTATACTATTATTACCTGTGTAAAAACTACTAGGCTTCAGATGTATTAAGGATTGATTAAAATACAAATTCACGGGTGGGAATAATGGAATAGGGGGAACAAACCAATGCCGTGCATCAGAGATGACAAAAAAATTTGTATTTGTACGGCAACCGGTTTCAAAGTTTGTTCACTTCATCATCAGGCACACCTAGTGGGTAAGAGAAAATGGGGAAATGATGAGTTTTAAGTTGTTAGCCAAAAGTTAAACCATTAAAATGAAAAAATGATGGAATATTGATTTAGTTTAAGTGAAATTAAATAACTAATATACTAATACTATTAATATTTATTTATTCACACTAACAAAAAAATATTAATCAAATTAATGTACTAACTGAATGAAAAAGCCGAAAAGAACAAGTGAAAAAATTTGTTAATGAATATTGAAAAATACATGTTGGAACAAACCATCAACAACAAAATGGTATAAGATAAAGAAATGACTGTATAGTATAATAAAAAACAAAAACTCACCATAATATCTTATCCACTAGAGATAAAACTTGGATTACAATCTTGAAGGAATAGAGGCGAACTGAACATTTATTATTTTTTATAAAAGCATTGGTATTTGTCGGGGGTTAAAAACATTAAAATTAAAATCGTCACATGTTAAAATAACCATATTAAAATATTAATGAGTCTACATTACTAAGTGAAAAAACAAAAAAACTGCCAAAATTTTTAATGTTCACAAAAGCAAAATGGATACTGGCAAAGAATATTGAAAGGGTTCGAAGAATTCAAATTTGAAAAAAAAATATTTTTAATTTATAGAGGTGCTGCCCTTCAGTAGGGAGTGGCAAAACTAATAGTTAACGAATTTCAAAAAAATTATGCTTATAATAAGTTATTATAAACATAAACATTTTCCCGGAAATTTCTACCTTAAAAAAAACGTGGCGATAAAAGGCAACGTCCTGAGATGTCAATCTTCTCATGAAGTGCTTTCCAAAAGGATGATCTTTAAGGAAACGTGATATTCTGTAAAAAGGGCGTTCTCCAAGGAAAATCCAATGTCCAGAAAAAGCCAATCTAGTCTCACAAGGCACAAAATTATTATTATTAACTATGAAACCAATATACTATTCGAGTAAGAGGCAAGATTATATTTCTATGAAATTAACCGTCTTAAACGTTGTTCAAAAATTAAAAGGAATGAAAAATCGCAGTAACTAGTACCGGTAGTCTGTTGAATCCATGCAATTAAAAAAAATTCTAAAAGGCATAGGCGTCGCAATACTAGATTAAAAGTCCCGCGCTTTTTTCGCACATGAGTAATACGAAATTGTCGTAAAACAGGAAAGCTAGATTATATCTTTAAGAGGAAACTGGACTTCTCGCGAAAGCAAAAATGTTTTAAGGATTTTCTAATATAAAATTGTATTTATATGCGTGCCACTGGGAATACTTCGTGATATTATGTGTCTTGACAATATTAAGAGCTTTAAATTTGTGCAACGATAAGGCAGCACTCACTCTACAGAGACGTTTAAGAAAAAAGGTGGGAAATAATATCATTTAAAAACTACTAGATATTTATTGAAACAAAAAGCAGCAAATTTTCATAAGTGTAATACAAAATGGCGCGGAAATGTCTTTTTTGAAATTTCTTATAAAATTTTTCAAAATAATTACTTTTCGAAGGTTTACAAACAATTCAATGTTTCTCCATCCTATGTTTTATTATTGGTTGTATTTCCTTAAACTTTCACAAAAATCGGACTAAAAATAAAGGCTCGGAATGAATTATAAATTTTAAAGGTGTTCGGTTTGTTCTTAAGTGAAATCTCATGATCATAGAAACTTTTTTCACACAATCTGGCCCAACCTATTAGGTACATTCTTAATTTTCCATGGTTTCCATGATTATACAGTGGGCATCATAAGTCTTACCCCCCTAACTAACTCGTTACTGGAGTCTTGTTAGGAAAATCGCCGAGACAGGTCGATTTTTGATTTCTACAATGTACATTTTTGTATGATTAGTTTACCCTTAATTTCATCCCTTACTGGAGGGGAGCTACCCTTTCGAAAAATTTAAATGGCATGGGGTAGTGAGTGATAGCTCGTTTGAAAGGGGGTTTTATTCTCTATTCAGCCATGCAAAAAAAATTGAAATTTCAAAATTTTTTACACGGTTGAATAGAGAATAAAACTCTCTTTTAAATGAGCTATCACCCACCACCCAAAGCCATTTAAATTTTTCGAAAGGGTTGCTCCCCTCCAGTAAGGGATGAAATTAAGGATAAACTATTCATACAAAAATGTACATTGTAGAAATCAAAAATCGACCTGTCTTGTCGATTTTCCTAACAAGACTCCAGTAACGAGTTAGTTAGGGGGGTAAGACTTATGATGCTCACTGTATATATAGGTGTCTGGAAATACCGTTCAAATAATCTCGGGTGATTTTACATAAAAAAAAACAGAATATTTTCATAGGTCCCAAACTGCATAGTTTTCAAGAAAGTGTATCAAACTTAAATATCCTTTGGCCGATTTGGTTGAAATTTGATAGTGTTGTTTATAGTAATAAGTGTTAGGTACCTTACCGAATATTGACAAATAAATGAGCGCCACTGAATTTTTTTGTCTTTTGCGCTGTACTTATTGAGCTTCATTTATTGTAAAAAAAAAACAGTTTATTGCATATCTTTAAGCAACAAATTATATCAAAAACTGTATCTTAAAAACTATGTATTTCCGGGCCCAGTTTCATAGTAAAAAATTGTAATTTTTTTCGTATGTAGATTCACTCCTAAAATTATTCGAACGGTATTTCCGAATACCCTGTATAAAATAATAAATAAAAATTAAGGTTATGTATCAACTTTAGTTTCAAGATTGTATTCATCTAAAAGCTTACAGTAGAAGGAGATGTGATTATATCACTCATTTTAAATCTAATCTAACCACTGCAATAATTACATAAAAATTTATTTAGTTGTAAACGAATGATTACTTCAAAATCAAATGAGAGAATGGTTTTTTTGTTTGGCTCCGTCACAATAATGTGGCTTATAGATGCTGCTGATTTACCAAAATAAAGCTAGTATTGAAAATAACATTTTTCTAAAAATATTGAATTCTCGCTTAAAATACGTTTGACAAAATTTATTATGTAATTTGTTAGTTCCATAAATAATTAGAAGAGTTATTTTAAAATTTATATTTTTTCTTCAGGTTTTTAACAAACAACTGTCACTAGCTACTAATGCAGCTCAACAAAAAATAGGCAGTGGATTATGGGGACATATGCTTATCAGTACAAACGTTTTCACGAAAGCAATTTTTACTGTAACTGGTAAAGACATGGCTGTATTTATAGACCAGTGGGTAAGGACCGGTGGCCATGCTAAATTCCATCTTACCTCAGTGTTCAACAGAAAAAGGTAAAATTTTGTTATGATGTTTATTTAATTGTATTTTTTCCATAGAAAAATTAATTTGTTCTTGTGTGAATGATAGGATTTATTATTTATTCCAATAAAATATGTAGCTCAAATTGATATCCCTATTTATATTTTAAAAAATCATGTTTTCAGGAATACTATAGAACTAGAAATTAGACAAGATGCAACAACATCTCTAGGAATAAGAAAATACGTTGGACCGCTTTTAGTTACTCTCCAAGAATTGGATGGTACTTTTAAACATAATTTACAAATCGAAAACATTGTAGTTAAAGCAGACATAACTTGTCACTCAAAAAGTAGAAGAAATAAAAAGAAAAAAATTCCTCTGTGTACCGGCGAAGAAGTAGATATGGACCTCAGTGCAATGGAGTAAGTAAACATTCAATAAGCTATTAAGGTTGTATTTTCACCGTGTTTTAGCTTTAAGTAGTAAGGATCCACAATTTCCAATTACATTTAAATTCTGCTAAATGCATTAAATTAAATCTTGTACCAGCTTAAAGAATGAAATCTTTTACTTTTTATGTATCCCGTTTCTTCATTAAATTAAAAAAAAAGTCATAAAAAGTTATTTTAAAAATCTGACCTAAAAAGGATATTTTATTCTACATATCGACACCACAATCGAAGAAGGTTGTAATAGTTCGTCAGATAGTGACAGATTTATGTGCCCCATTTTCGCATACAAGCCTCGAAGAGGGTTGAAAAGTACATTGATTTTAAGTAGAATGAAAGGAAATTTACGAGTGGCTCTTGGGGATAACACATGGAAAATTCGATTTTCCCTAACAAAAACGAAAGGTTATTTGTTGCCCATTTTTAGACGCAAGCCGTTTTCACTATATGATTAATTAATAGAACTAGGCTTCGGAAAACCAACGGCTTTAATGTTGCAAGTGCCTAAAGGGTTGAAATAAGGGCGTAATCTTGTAATGAAAAATCGAGATTTTGCCCGATTTTTCCACACAAGCCTATTGAATGTATGAAAACATATGTCGTCACTAGTTTGAAAAACATATTTTCTTGAATGACCCGAACGTATAAGTTCATTTTGGGGTCGGAAAATTTTTCTGATAAGGAAAATCGAATTTTCCATGTGTTATCCCCAAGAGCCACTCGTAAATTTTCTTTTATTCTACTCAACATCGATGTACTTTTCAACCCTCTTCGAGGCTTGTATGCGAAAATGGGGCACCTAAATCGGTCACTATCTGACGGTCTATAACTTACGATACATCCAGTTTAAATTCAGCCACAGACGTTTTCAGCAAAATAAAGTAAATCCATCAGTATAATAAAAATATCTCAAGTCACGATGGTTTGGCTGATACTCTTTTGAAAAAAAGTTCTATTTCAAGTTACATGCACCATTGCAGCCTCAAAAAGGCAATAACACCATTTTAACAATATCAAATTTTGTAGATTTCAATAATATGTATCTTATTAATAGATTGTAAAATGAGTTACAGCCTTCTTGTTTCCATATTTTTTTAATGTAGCAATAAAAAATATATGTATTTTTTATTGTAAAATGGTTGTATCTTACTGCCTTATTTATTCTGTGAAATGTAATGTTAATTGTCAAGGTTGTATCTCAATTAAACTCAACTTATTATTATGATTTATAAAATTTAAACATTCATTATCACATAAGTAACCTCCACTGTGTTCTAAGTATACTCTATTCAATAAATACTAGAGTATTATACTCGAGACAAATATTTAAAAAAAACCTATTTTTAATTTTATGACGCTCCTGAAAATCACTAAAACAACCTTCTTCGATGGTGTGTCGATAAGTATCCCACCGAAATATTTCTAAATTTTATTAGGTATTTTTCAAATCTAAAAAGAATTACGATTAAGAAATATTTGAGTTAATTTGTCGAAGTAGAGATTTTCTATCAATTCCTGTAATTTCTTACTACATCAATTTTTAAATAGATGTCACATGTAGGCTACCACATAAAAACAATGTTGCCACTTTTGGATATATTTGTATTTATCTAGAGTCGTTCTAGTTACACAATATACAGGGTGGACACTTTTTTAATGGGATTGTATTAGTAATTTCCAAACCATACTAGTTAGAAAGTTGGTTAAATGGAGAAAAAGTTGCCTATCTCGAAGCATAATCTAGCGGTGGAAATTAATCGAAAATAGCAGGCCCGGCTCTTGAGATATTTCGATAAAAGGAAATTCGATCTTTTCGGTTTTTTGGTTATCGTTTATTTATTTTCAGAACTACTAAAAAATATTTTGAAAGTTTTTTATTTGATAGTAAATTTTCTTTGATTTGACGTTTTCATATTTTGCATCCAACGTTTCGTATTCTCCAGACCACTTTATGGCGATATTTTGTAATTTTGGCGTATCAAATACATTTTTTTATAAATAGGTAAAAATACAATGAGCAACCGGAGTTGCTATAAATACAGTGTAAATTATAAAAAATTTCAGTAGCAAAGTGGAAATTAAATCAAAGAAATAAATGGATAGCTGTGCAATAAAAAGAAAAATTACCTTTATTTTTTTAATAATAACAGTAATACTGGAAATAGTAGACATCAGAAACTTGAAAGGTTTTAAATAAACAATAAATTATCATTTTACAATGTTCTTCAACATCCCTTTAATCTTAAATGTTCAGCAAGAACTAGATTTCTGCCTTTTAATATTGTGTGTGGCTGGAATGCAATTTTGTGACTTACTGATAGGAAACCAGTTTTAATGAATCATTCTATGTTTTCTTTGGAACAAAAAATAATTAACAATCCTTTTGTTTATACATTTTTTTTAATTTGGTGTAATTAAGAGTAAATACTTAATAATGATGTTCTAATCGTGGTTCTAGTTGTCAATAAAATGATGCATATGCAACTGCCAATATAAGAAAGTAATATTGGCTGCCTAAATGTCATTAATGTTTAACCAAAACAATTTTAGTCAAAATTAGAAAAAATAATGTATGTAACACATTACGAAATGTCGTTTTATGTAATTCATTCATGTTGCGGGACCTTCCTCTGCTTGTCCCGCAAATATTTATTCATTACATAAAATAAGTCATTTTGCAACTGCTTTCATCAATAGCTATTATTCAATAAAATAATTTTTAACCTTTTATGCTTTTTAAATATTCTTTTCCCTGTTATGTTAATGCTATTTTTCTGGATTTTATAATTAACTCTAATCCATCAGTTAGGTTTTATCAATTTTTATTTGTTATCAGCTGTAAACTTTGGTTCGGGACCATAGGTATAGAGAATTCGTCCATGGGTGGAAAGTGTCATTTGAATGTCACTTCCCACCCGTGGAAGGGAACTTACACTTTTAATAGCCTACTTTCTCACTTTTAAAAAGTTTGGAATATAGTTATTACATATCAACTGTGAAACCCGAAAAGTGCAACTCCATTTTAAGAAATTTGGCATAAGACAAAAACGGTTTTAATTAAAACCAGGTCGTTACGAATCAACTGTGCAAACTAGAAGAGATACACTTTTTTCGTTTACAAAATGTGTTAGCTATTTGTAGTCATGGATACATTAAATTGTTTAGTTATGCACTTTTCAGGTTCCACCGCCGATATATCATTGTGAATTAAAATAATTCCCACCTACGTTAATATTTATCTTTGTAAATTTGATTTTATATTTTAGCGACTCCCCAGTTCTTTGGATCAGACTGGATCCTGAAATGACTTTACTGAGATCAGTTGTAATAGAACAACCCGATTATCAATGGCAGTATCAACTGAGACATGAAAGAGATGTTACAGCTCAAATAGAAGCGATTATAGCTCTCGAAAGGTATCCCACGCCACCAACTCGTCTAGCTCTAACCGATACTATTGAAAATGAACAATGTTATTATAAAGTTCGATGTAAAGCTTCACATTGTTTAACTAAGGTTAGTAATAGTTATTTATGTTCCAAAGTTGGTGCTAACACTTGCAAACTGTGTTCATGACCTTAAGATTACATTTTCAAGTCGAAGTTCATACGACATTTTTGGTACTACTAGTAACATTTCAATTTTTAGTAAAATTCATTTAAAATTGAAAATTAATATTTTATGATCTGTCAAATAGTTGACTTCTAGTTGGTGTGTGTTTATAATGGACTCTTTCTAGTTGCTAAGGTTTCTGTCATAATAATGTTAATATAATATGCTAAATAGGCTCACCTTTTTGTCTGCTTATGAATTTGTTTACATAAACTATCATTTTTAAGTTTAAATATAATTTTCAATAATTCAAGTGTGTATCCATAGATATAGAAACTCATAAGGTGTAACTACTATAATCGGCAACTATGTGTCACAATGTAAACTAATATGGTGCAGTTGATCTACCACGTTGGCAAATCTTCCTAAAATACTTTGTAATCGTTGTCGACAAATACGAAACCCCTAATATTCTTATGACAAAATATTGTTAGAAAGTAACCGAATTATTAATTACATGTAACATTTAGCTGAAGCTCGTTATGAAATATACAGGCCAAATATAATTTTTGATCATCAAATATATAAAAATTACTGGCATAATATAAAATCAGCTTAAAATTTCGTTGGGGCATATTTTCTCTCCAACATTTTAAAGTGGTGTGTGAGTGGGCATGAGTGTGACTTATTTTCTTATAGTTGAATTTATTATTAGAGTGTACTATGATACGAAAGCACTACGAATTCACAAAAGCGCTACGTTCAGACCGGAGTGCTTAGGTAGGTATAGACATTACAAGTGGTACATGCCTCTCCAAAACTTGACTTATTTTCTTAACATTTTCATTATGCTCGTTTGATAATAAGTGCTCACCTATAAGAAATATTAAACTCTTCACCAATTTCGCTGGTACATTTTAAAGTGGTGCTTAAGTAGTCATGTGACAGAATCTTCGACAGATCACAGGCATTCTGACTGTTCATTGGCAAGTACGGAAAAGTATCTTCGTATCATGGGGCTGTCAGAATCCGCACTCTGCAGGGGGTTCGAACAAGAAGATGAGCATCAAGCATTGTTAGGAGTTTGCTGTTCATAGTTTTTACCTCTCCCTATATGTTAATTATTATCTTTTGTTTTACTGTTTTTGTCATATCGATGGCTTAGCGCAAACATGTGTTAAGTGCCATTTTGAGACAAATTGTGTTAAGTGCATGTATACGTGTACAAATAATTTATCTTTATTGTTGATAAATGTGGCAGGTGCATACAAGGTTAAATTCGTAGTTTTTTGGTATACAAAATGTGACAAGTATTAGAAATTAAAAATTTAAAAAAATCGACTTCAAAAATGTGCAGATGCCATCACCACATCTTAACCAAATTTATATGAGACCACCCCTAAGGTACCCCCTTACTAACAAAAAAAGAATCATATAAATCGGACAAGGTGGTAAAGCATTATAGCTAAACATACATAAAAAATGAAGAGTTTGAGGATTTTCTCATGGACCGAATTATTAGATTTTGACTAAATTTATATGGGACCACCCCTGAAGTACCCCTTTTCTAACAAAAAATGGGTGGTAAAGCATTATCGCTAAACATACATAAAAAAATGAAGAGTTTGAGGATTTTCTCATGGATCCAATTATTAGATTTTGACTAAATTTATATGAGACCACCCCTGAAGTACCCCCTTTCTAACAAAAAAAGAGTCATATAAATCGGACAAGGTGGTAAAGCATTATCGCTAAACATACATAAAAAATGAAGAGTTTGAAGATTTTCTCATGGACCCAATTATTAGATTTTGACTAAATTTATATGGGACAACCCCTGAAGTACCCCCTTTCTAACAAAAAAGAATAATTAAAATCGGACACCGTGTTAAAGAATAATCGCTGAACATACATAAAAAAAATATCGCGACGAATTGATAACCTTCTCCTTTTTTGAAGTCGGTTAATAAATACCTTATAGCATATAATAGTAGAGGTGTTACTCAAATGGGTTTGTTATGTACTGAGGGGGGTAACCCCTTCGGTGTTAGGTACACGACGCATTATGATTGGCGAGTTAGGAACATGACGATTTATGATTGGCGAATTTAAATAACGCGCGTATTTGTGATAAATGACATTTCTTTTGACGTCTTGTTTTCGTTTTTAAAAATATCATTTTGGTGGCTTCCAAAGACAATTTGGACGAGGTTTCCCTTTGATAAACTTTTTAAGTGTAATTTTATTATAAAATAAGTGCTAATTTTGCCGAAAGCTTGTATAGTTTGCAATAATACATACTTAAAAGGATCCTGGTTGACGTTTTACAAGTAAGTATTCTATATTCCATAAACGTAACTTAAAATGGGAAATTAATTAATTAGAAAACATGTTTGTAGAATTTTCTTCATTTGAGCATAACCGCAACTAGTTGCGTTCGACAGAAAATAGTCGTTTTCTTTGCGATAATGCTTAATTTATGTCTTTTTGTATATAATTTAAAATGGATTAGATATATTTTTGTATTGTATTTATTCAACTGCCATTAATATTTTAAATCTTTTTTACTTATTTCAGATTTCCCGCTGATCTCGCAACCAAACTGTCAAGTATTTATTATTAGTTATTGTGAAATTACATTGCATAAATGGTAAACATAACTACGAACCCTTCCAAACCGTACGCCATTGAGAATGGAGTACCTACCCTTCTCCCCTCACGCCAAAAGTGATGACCCCGCTTATACATAACAAAATACATTGAATGATATTTCTAGTCTTATATGCTTTAAGATAAATACCTATTTATAGAATCACAAACTTGCCAACTACGCTTGTCATATTTAGTATTTTATTTTAAGAAGCACACTGGTGTTAAGTGTGCACTTGACACATTTGTCATTCTTGTTCGATGACAGGAAGACAACGTTAAGTGACTGCATATTAAATGGAAAAAGCAAGTCTATGAATATTTAATATAAGTTTGATATACCTGCATAATATTTCTTTGAAATAGACACACAAAAGTTCACAGCACTAGAAGATTCCCACCATTAACGCTTTTGAAATTTCCATCGTACAACTTAAAATCCTTGTACATTTCCAATCACCATGGGCTCACAAGCAAAAAAGGACCTTTTAGATTATCTCTGCTTTTAGATCTGTTAAAACTAAAAGTTATCCTAGAGAATTATACACAATTTATTGCAGGGATACCAACTAATTGAATAATGACCAACTCCGTGTCAGATTATGATGACGCCAAAAAACTAATGTTCTCTATATTTATATATAAAAAATATCACAAATATTTAAGTTTCTGTTTCCTCAATTAACTTTTTTTTAAAACTGCTTTTAATTTATTTTTAACAGTTTAAAAAGATAATTAATTACAAATCGTTATACAAATGAGATAACTGCAAAGAATTCACTTCCAAATGTGCTATAACTATTAAATTTGTACTTTAACTGCTAAATAAGTAATGTATAAAACATTCCTATTTTGCTTTATTATGTAATCAAAAATAACGAAAAAGTCTTGAAAGGGTTTGGTAGGTACATTTTTTATAAAATAACAGAGCTATAGCTTCAAACCTTTGAACTTAAATTGTGAAATATTAGCAAAATATTACTTAACACATGTGTGCGCTAAGGCATCGATATTGACTTTGAAAAAATAAATTAATAACGTTAACAAAAATATACTTTATTTTTCTCTCAAAATCACGATTCGATGCACACAATTCATCATATGGCGACCGTGGCAGGACTCAGTGTAAATAATCTTTTGATTGAGAGAAAACTGTAGAGAAGAACTTTCAACAAACTTTTACAAAAACCAGATGAAGAGCTAGCAAAGTAACTTATTAGTAAGGACGACGTTCTTGGTCAGTTCTCCATTCTAGAAGAAACAGCTGAATGTTTATTCTTGTCTGATGAATATCTTAAAGAGTCCCTATTCAACACTGACCGAACAAGAAAACGAAAAGGAATTTGACGACATTCAGTACTATAAAACTAACCTGACTGTTTATAGAAGAAAGTGTAAAGCAGTAGAGATTCAAATACACGAAGAAAATCATTCTATAAAGTCAAGCGGAGACAGAAGAAAGAGATTTCAACTACCAAAAATCGAGTTTAAGAATTTCGACGGAAACGTGAAAAATTGGATTGGATTTTGGGGACAGTTTAAAAAGATAGATGAAGACGAAGATATAAATCTGGAAGACAAGTTCCAATACTTAATTCATGGAACTGAACCGGCCACTGTGGCAAGAGATCTTGTCGAAAGCTTTCCTCCTTCTGCTCCAAATTACACTAAGGCTTTAAAAACACGCTTTGCTAAGGTCGAACTTCTTATTGAGGTATATTTAAGAGAACTGTTACAATTAGTACGTCAGCAGTCAACAGAAGCTAAATTAGGTATTTTGGCAACTTTGTATGATAAATTAGAAACACAAGTAAGATCTTTAGAAATTCTTCGTGTTACTAACGATAAGTACGCAGCTATGCTTTACCCACTCGTGGAATCGTCACTACCAGATGAGCTGCTGGAAGTTTGGGAAAGACAATGAACGATTTCTAGGAACCAAGCTTGAGTTGAAAATGGCAATTTTTACGAGGGGAAGTCGAGTCTGACAAGAAGATCAAGCTTGCCAAACATACTTTTGAAGTACCAGAAAGCATTTAAGCCAAGCACAGTAACAGCAGAGTCAGTCAGTCACTACAGAAATACAGTTCCAGAAGATCCAAGCAAAGTATTGTAGAGAGTGAAGCATGTACTTCAGCAGGTTTGAAAAATCACAATCAAGCAGGTAAAAACATTTCTAACTGTATATTTTGCAATATATTTACATGCAAGTCAAGAATGCATTAAAGCACAGTCTCTCTTTGTTAGAAAGAACAAAATTATGAGCAAAGGAGGATGCTTCACTTGTTCTAAATCAACCACAGAAGCATTCATAA